AAGCTTCTCAGTTTCAAGAGGTCCCATTGATTGATTGTTTGTCTCAGTGTCTGCGCTACTGGTGTTATATTTAGGAAGTGATCTCCTATGCCAAGGCGTTCAAGACTATTTCCTACTTTTTCTTCTAGCAGGTTCAGAGTAGCTGGATTTACCATAACATAATTTTTAATACATTTATGAATACTTATACTAATATCTGAACTTTGGGTAAAAGTCCCAAGTGCACTAAGAACTTAAGAGCTCCTGACCTGACTATCAGCTTTAACTACTGCAGAACAGTGAAGCCCAGCAGCCTGCAGGCTTCTCCCACTACAGGCCCTTAGGTCCTTTATTTCCTTTGTTTATGTGCCTTTGGTCTCTCACTCCTCTGATCTCTTGAGCTAATAGTCCTTTGGGCAACAAAGGACAGATGTTCTGTGCCCAGTGAAAGGCAGTCATGTCAGAACCAGTGAAATTAATACATACAAAGGATAACATTTCTTGCTTCCTTAGGCAAACTTTCAAGTCTGTCATGTAGACCTGCTAAGTTTTTGACTAATTCTCCAATCCTTGTAATTTTCTTCCCCCAACAGCAGTGCACTGTCAAATCATCTTGTGCATATGTACATATTATGTGTACACATCCAGCTTTGGGGTTTACATGCACAGGAGAGCTCAGGTGACAGATCAGTCGGTAGGTAACTAAAGCTTTTGAGGTTTTGAATAAATAATAGAGGACTTGTCATGATTCATGAAAGAAAATTTTATTTGGGTTTAATTACTTTTCATTTGGAATAACAACGTCTGTAAGAGGAAGAAAATGCTTCTTCAGAAGCTTCTGATGGCTCTCACTGTGCCAGACTGACAGAATGAGACCGCCTAGCCAAGGGCTTGTGAGTCAGTGTGTGTGTCAAATGTGATGTGCCACGAGAACGTCACTCTTGGTTCATTCATGACTTTTGCCCCATCGAGGGAAACTGTTCCATGCACTGGGACAAAGTGCCACTCTGTGACCCTTGCGGAAGCAGAACTGTCCAACCTCTGCTCCTGCTGAGGCGGCTCATGAGGAGGCTTTGGTGTCACCTCACCTCTTCGGACTGTGGAACTGAGGTCAGCCCACATCTGAGACGCAGCAAACTTCGCTTACACCTGTCCTCCAGTCGGGTCCCATCCCTTCCGGCCACCACACTGCCTACAGCCCAAAGCATCTCACTGAATAAACTGCCTATGGTAACTGGGATGTTGAAGAAGATATTTATGAGAGGAGTCTTTCAACTTTAGGCTATATATCTCTTAATAATAAAAACAATAACAGCAGCAATTTTTACTGTGTTTTTATTATGTAACAGCAATGGTAAGGGCTAGTAAGATGTATTTCGTTCACTTAGTACTGCTGCTTAGAACACATACAGGGGTTAGTTTATATCCAGGTAAATCTAGAAGCTCCATCATTACCTAGCTCTGTGACTTTGGGCAGGCTCCCTGATCTCTTTGGGTCTCATGTTTCTTATCTATAAAACAAGTGCAATAAATGCCTTGTACAGTCACCATGAGAATGAAAAGCTACCTAAAGCATCAATCTTGTAGTCAAGTTAACACATGCAAATTATTTTATCTTTTTTCCCCCCAGAGCTGAGGACTGAACCCAGGGCCTTGCGCTGGGCAAGCGCTCTACCACTGAGCTAAATCCCCAACCCCTATTTTATCTTTTATTGGATATTCCAGAGCTGAAGGAGTCAACTCTCAGTGTAAGACAGTGGTTTTTATTTTCTAACTTTAAACTCACATAATTTCCTGTTTAAAAAAAAGTTTTTTTCAAGCTAACATAATAAATAAATAGCACAGCTCCCATAGACCTACACAGAAGCCATGCTCTGTGGCTGAAGGATGGACACACAGTGCCAGAGAGAAGGAAAGAGTGCTGTGTCTGAGAACTCCAGAACAGAGAAGGCTGCAGAAGCTGGCCTGGGTGAGCGCCTTAGCTCCCAGTGTTCTGAAGAGCTACTGACCTCCTAGTCACCGATGCCCTTCACATCTTTATCTAAGTCTCATGGAAGGAATACTTTGATAGTAGTAATAATTATGTAAAATATTTTAAAAGATTAAAACTGAGCATTAAAATCTAATTTTGATTGCTCAGCTACAGAGAGCAATGAGTATAAACACCACTCAAGTCTTTGGTTCTATAAGCTTCACACATGACATGATTAAACTATGTGCTGTGTGTTATTTCATTTGTAACTTTTTTGTTTTTATTTATTTACTTTGTTTTTTCATTCCAACCAGTTTCCCCTCCCTCCTCTCCTACCGGTTCCTCCCCCTCCTCACATGGATATCGGCCAGCCATGGTCTATCAAGTTGCAGTGAGACTAGGCACCTCCTCTTTTGTTAAGGCATCTGGTAGGAGGAAAGGGTCCCCAAAGCAGGCAACAGTGTAAGAGAACACCTGCTTTTACTGTTAGGAGTCTCCTAACAAGATCAAGTTACACAACTGTCACATATGTGCAGAATGCCTAGGTCAGTCCCATGCAGGCTCCCTGGTTGTCCGTTCAGTCTCTGTGAGCCCCTATGAGCCCAGGTTGGTTAGTACTGTGGGTTTTCTTGTGGTGCCCTTTACTCCACTGGCTTCTACAATCCTTCCTCCCTCTCTTCCCGAGGATTCTCCGAGCTCTGCCTAGTGTTTGGCTGTGGGTCTCTGCATCTGTTTCCCTCAGTTGCTGGGTGAAGCTTCTCTGATTACAGTTGGGCTAGGCACCAACTGGTTCTCACTGGTGAGGACTGCTTTGTAACTAATTTTTAACTACTATAACAAGGCAACATTAGCCACTGTGTTGAATTATAATTGGTATACACACACACACACACACACACACACAGGTTCACAATTGGTTACTTGAAGATAAAACTAAGGAGGCAAGCCAGCCTCTGGCCTTTAGAAAATAGATCCAAAGACTCCTTAACTTTTAATTTAAACAAAGGAATAGTTTCCTGCTCAACAAAAACAACAAACACACAAACCAAAATTTAATTATTTTAAAATAATTTAATTATTTTAAAAAAGAAAAAAGTTTTACAGCCTAAATTGTGGGAGCCCGTTCTGGGGTTCCTCGTGGCTTTACCCAGCAGGTCCGAATAGAGGATGATCAGGACCATGGGCCTGAGTGCAGGTGTCTGAGATGG